CCATCACTATAAAAAATTTTTTCTGAAATAGCCAGGCGTGGTGGTACACGCCTGTCGCCCTGGTTAGTTGGGAGGCTGAGGTGGGAGGATTGCTTGAGGCCAGCAGTTTGAGGCTGCAGTGAGCTACGATTACACCACTCCAGGCTAGCCTGGGAGACAGAGTGAGCAACCCTGTCTCAAACAAACAAAAATTGAAGATGAGGAAGATTCAACAAAACATAGCAAATGAGGATTCTAACCTTCCAAAATGATGGAGGCTGAGTAGCAGCACCTCATCATTAGAATCAAGGCTGGTGCAAGTATCTCAATGAACACCAGGTTGGAATGGCAGATGGAGGAGTCCCTCGCACAGAGAACAAGGAAGAGGGCTCGGAGGGCATAATTCAGAAAACTCAAAAATGGTTACGCGGTTAAAGATAGCAGCCGCAGTAAAAGTCACGATCCCTTGTTTGTTTCTGAGCCTGAGCCTATTTTCAGATCCAGAGCTGACTGAATGAGAAGTCTGTGTCTGCAGAAACATGGTAAATGCATTTAGTAGTGATTCCTCAGACCTTCTGCAAATAACTAAGGCTGTTACCTGGGTAACCGTGCCTTGGTGAAAGGGGAATGCCTGCCTAGACTTTCTGAGGATGATTGGATAGAGTCTGGATTGACACTGAAACCTGGGATTCGAAGTATCACCATGCCTTCCCTGCTAAACTGGGGGTGGCTGGGGCTGTGTGGTCCATGGGGTCCCGACCTGGGTCCAGCTCCCAGATCTGCCCAGTGGTCATTCCTCCAATCCTGTTTGTACAATAAGACTGGACACACTCTTTAGGTGGCAAAATCCCCACCTGCAAAGTGAGAATTATCGCAGCAGGAAGGCCAAGTGGAAACCTCTGAAGTCCCTTCTCCCGCGGGAATGACAGTGAATTGGCCAGGCCTGGTGGTTCATGCCTGTACTCCCAGCACTTGGGAGGCCAATGCAGGCGAATCACTTGAGGTCGGAGTTCGAAACCAGCCTGGCCAACAGGGTGAAACCCCATCTCTACTAAAAATACAAAAAAAAAAAAAAAAAAGCGAAGCGTGGTGGCAGACGCCTGTAGTCCCAGCTACTTGGGAGGCTGAGGCAGGAGAATTGCTTGAACCCAGGCAGGCAGAGGTTGCAGTGAGCCAAGATCATGCCAGTGTACTCCAGCCTAGGTGACAGGGTAAGACACCATCTCAAAAAAAAAAAAAAAAAAGGAATGAAAGTGAATCAAAAACAATACCTGGAAAGCAATGGCACCCTCAGATCCTTAAAGAATGAAGGGCTAGTGGTCTCTGTCATATCCTCATTTCTTCCACCAGCCTAGCCCCTGCAGAAGCCAGGGGGGTCGCAGCAGGTGACGGGAGACTGCAGCAGACTTAATTAAGGAGCAGCCCAAGCGGCAGCTGCCGTGCCCGTGTGGCGGCTTCGCTAGAGCGCATTAGCACCGCCTCTGGCACAAGGCATCTGACCGCCCAGCTGGCAAATGTGTGTTCTTTCCCATCCCTCTCAAAATAAGAAGGATCAGAAGCAGTTACCATTCACACGGGACATGAAACAGTATGCATTTCAGTCTACCCTCGGGACTACGTTAGCTCCCTGCCTTCTGTCACATTACACTTGAACGACACCCGGACCATCTGGACATCCCGCAGTATAAGACATGGGTCCTTTGCATTGAAGACCTGGTGCTGATTGGACCTGAGGAGGAAGAGATGGCAAGATCCTGCAGGCCTTGATAATACATATGCCATTTGCAGGGTGAACGGTGAGCGCTGTGCAGGTTTAGGAGCCTGCAACATCAGGGAAATGCTTGGGGGGCCAGAGGGCTGAAGTATGTGGGGACATCCACCCGCTAAGAAGATGCATAGCACATGGTGATATGGTTTGGCTGTGTTTCCATCCAAATCTCATCTTGAATTGTAGCTCCCACAATCCATTGTGCGGGGGACCCAGTGGGAGATAACTGAATCATGGGGTGGTTTCCCCCTATACTGTTCTCATGGTAGTGAACAAGTCTCAAAAGGTCTGATGGTTTTAAACGGGTTTCCCCTCCGCTTGGTTCTCATTATCTCTTGCCTGCCACCATGTAAGAAGTGCCTCTGCTCTTTCTTCACCTTCTGCCATGATTGTGAGGCCTCCCCAGCCACGTGAAACTGACTTAGTTTTAATTGACTTAATTAAACCACTTTTCCCTTACAAATAACCCAGTCTTGGGTATGTCTTTATTACAAGCAGCATGAGAACAGACTAATACACATGGCAAGTCCTTCCAGGTTCTGGAGGCAGCAAATTCCACACATGGGAATGCTGCTGCAGCCGACTTACTGGGTGACATGGAAGGCTGCCAGATGGGACCCAGAGCAGGAAGGGCCCTGCCGCAGGTCCTGGCTGCCGTGCAAGCAGTCATACTGCTTGGGCCCTGTCCCCTAGCAGACCTTATATACTAGAGGGACCTGTGGTGGAAACAGATGCTGTGGGGAGTTTGCAGTAAGCCCAGTAGGAGACTCACAATGCAGCCTCCTCTGGTTTGGGAACAAGGCCATGCAGCATTTCACATAAAGCCGCTCCCATCGCACAAGTGGTCCAGGAGAGTTGATGTGTTTGACCACAGGACATCAAGTAACCCCACGGACGGAGCCGCTCATCATGACCTGCATTGGCCAAATCCACTAGGCCATAGTTTGGGGGTCTATCCTCCCTAAGACGGCTCTGGCAATCCCATCCTAGATTGGACCCATACCAGGCCAGAGAGTACAAGTAAACTTCGTGAACTGATAACAATGAGGAGGACGGCCGGGCCCAGTGGTGGCTCATGCCTGCAATCCCAGCACTTTGAGAGGCTGAGACAGGCAGATCACTTGAGGTCAGGAGTTCAAGACCAGCCTGGCCAACATGATGAAACCCCCATCTCTACTAAAAATACAAAATAATTAGCCGGTATGGTGGTGCGTCCTGATGATGCGTGCCTGTAATCCCAGCTACTCAGAAGGCTGAGGCAGGAGAATCGCTTGACGTTACAGTGAGATCATGCCATTGCAGTCAGGTCTAGGCGACAGACCAAGACTCCGTCTCGGAAAAAAAAGTTAATTAAGAATGAGGACAAGGAGGTTTTGGAGATGTGAGCACACAGGATTAAGGAGAAATGTGCATTTAGGAGGATGGAAGGGAGAATGAATTAGGAAATGTAGGACCTCCAGGCAGGCAGCGCGAAGGCACACTTGAAGTTTATAGCAATTTGTAACAAGCAAGTGAAAAAAAGCTCAACATCACTGATCATTAGAGAAAGGCAAAGCAAACCACAGTGAGACACCATCTCACACCAGTCAGAGTGACAATTATTTAAAAATCAAAAAATAGACCCGGCGCGGTGGCTCGTGCCTGTAATCCCAGCACTTTGGGAGGCCAAGATGGGCAGATCACGTGAGGTGGGGAGTTCGAGACCAGCCTGGCCAACATGGAGAAACCCTGTCTCTACTAAAAATACAAAAGTAGCCAGATGTAGTGGCACATGCCTGTATTCCCAGCTATTCAGGAGAAAGAAAGAGGAGCATGTGAGCTGAGGGTGTAAGCCAGAGGGTAATTGTCACAATGCACTGTGGAACCCAAGGGGGCTGCAGAGGGTGGCAGCGGGCAAAGAGCAAAGGAAATGGATTGCAAACCCAAGGAGGGCCCCTGGCATCAGGGTGAAGGAGGAAGTGTGCTGCAAGACAGATGGTGGAGGTGGAGAGTGGGAAGCTCAGGTTTCCCCTATCAGAGGACAGCAGTCAGCCTGCACTTTAGCCTGGGTGACAGTGTGAGACACTGTTTTTCAAAAAAGCCTAGCAAGTTAGGCTCTGATAAAATAGTTTCTCCAGAGGGCTGACCTTGTTGAGAACAAATGCTCTGGGGGATTTGCGAATGGTGACTTTTCCTTCCCGCTGCCAGAAGCACAGGGGATTTTTCTTCTTTCATGGTGAGGACCTGGGAGAGCTCTGGGAGGTAAAATTCAAAGGAGTGTGTGGGAGTCTCTTCTGAATTGCTCCCCCTGAAGTTTTTAACTCTCGGGCTTGTCCATGCTGAACCTCTGGCAATCTGGCCATCACAGTTCAGGTTCTCCTGTCCTGGAGCTGATTCCTGTGGAGGATTTTTTTTGTGGGTTTTTGCTTTATTAAGTTGTGATTTTCCATCACTGCCTGTCTGTCTCTCCAGTTTTGGGGACAGTGGTTTTCCCTGTGACTTCACTTCTCTGACAGATCTAAAAAGAGCTGTTGATTTTTCGGTTTGTTCAACTTGTTATGACGGAGCATGACTTCTAATCTTAGATGGCAGCCAGAAACTGCCAGAACCTTCCAGAAACTTTAACTCAATAAAAATATACCCAAAAGAATTGAGTGTGTCTAAGAATTGTAGAAAGGGGTAGAGATTCAGCTACACACTGAGCTTAGAGCAACAAAAAGGGACGACATGATTGGCAGGTGGTGTTGTGGACTGGGCAAATTGGAGCACTCACACTTCCGGCACATGCACCAATTCAGGCAACAAAAACCCAAAAATATGTTTAGTGTGGCCTTGCTATTTTAAAACTGTAATTTTTGCATAATGAGAACAAAATCTGAAAATGTTCCTGCAATTCATTTATTAACTCTGAAACGAGGAAGTGACAAGTCTGATGTCAGTTGATGTGAGTCACAGAGGACTCTCATAAAAATTACATTGGTTTAAATGAAAGCTGCCAGGAGATTTATTTTAAAAAGAAAACAGAATTACAGTGGTAATCCCCCCTTCTTCTATTTTTCTATTTGTGCTAGGTTTGAATGTTTTTGTCCCTCCAAAATTCATTAAAGTGGATTTTAGTCTCCTATGCCACAGTATTAAGAGGTGCAGCCTTTAGGAGGGGCCTGGGTCGTGCCCGCGAGCCCCCATGAATGGGATCAGGTGCCCCTAACCAAAGGATTTGTTGGAGGGAGCTTACTCTTTTGTTCACCTCTTTTATCTTTTCCACCACGTGAAGACAGAGTTCCTCCTCTCCAGAATATGCAGAATGAAAGCAGAGCTCCTCCTCTCCAGAATGGAAGCAGAGAGTAGCCCTCGCCAGACCCCAATTCTGCCAGCACCTTAATCTTGGACTTCCCAGCCTCCAGAACTGTGAGCAGTAAATCTTCACTGTTTGTAACTTACCCAGTAGGTGTTATTTTTTATACCAGCACAAACAGGCTGAGACTGATATTGGCACTGAGAAGTGGGGGTATTGCCACCAGCACACAACACCAGCCTGGGGCAGCCCCAGGAACAACAGAATCCCGTAAGAGCATGGACTGTCCTCAGCAAAGCCACCCAACCACAGCCATGTGGGACATGAGTCAAAGAAGGTGATATTCGAGCTTTAAGATTTAATGTTGTTTGCCCTTGTTGGGTTGTGGACTTAACTGGGGACGGTTATCCCTTTCTTCTTGCCTGTTTTTCCCTTTTGGAATGGGAATGTCTATCCTATGCTTGTCTCAACATTGTATTTTGGAAGTAAAAATACAATGTTTGGGAAAACTTGTTTGATTTCACAGGCTTACAGCTAGAGGGGAATTTGCATCAAGATAAATGGTACTAACAGAGAACAGCTGGGCTCCTGGCTAAACCCCACCCTTAAGCTTGGAACTGTGGCCCTAGAAACAGCTGGCCCGGTTTTTCCACCCAAATGCTTTTTTGGCCTGCCACGCTCCTATTCTGTGCCCATAAAGACTTCAGCGGGCAGAGCAACACAAGCGGCTGAGCATCGGGAATACAAGCTGCTGAGCGTTGGGGATATGAGCAACTGTCAGGGACTACAGATAAACACGGCTAACTTCAGATGGTGCAGCTTCAGAGGGGAGCCTGGCTAGAGACGGCTGGGCTTCAGGAAAAGATCTCCTCCTCCTGCACCATCCCCTTTCCAACTCCCCTTCCACCAAGAGCCACTTCCATTGTTCAATAAAGTCTTCCACATTCATCGTCTTTGAAACAGTGTGTGACCTGATTCTTCCTGGATGCTGGACAAGAACCCAGGCGCTTGGACGCTGCTGTGGGGCCCGCGCTGAGCCCGCTCCTGCCAGAGAAGAGCGACCAGCATTTGTTCCCTCTGGCTCCTGCACTTGCTTCCTCAAATGTTCCGTCTCACAAGGAATGGCCATCTTAGTACCTTCAGTCTCACCTATATCTGATCTACATGAGATTCTAGACTTTTTTTTTTTGACACAAAGTCTCATATTGTTGCCCAGGCTGGAGTGCATTGGCATAATCTCAGCTCACTGCAGACTCCACCTTCTAGGTTCAAGTGATCCTCCTACCTCAGCCTCCCAAGTAGCTGGAATTACAGGTGTGTACCACCATACCTGACTAATTTTTCTATTTTTAGTAGAGATGGGGTTTCGCCATGTTACCACGTCGGCCAGGCTGGTCTCGAACTCCTGACCTCAACCAATCCACCTGCCTCAGCCTCCCAAAGTGCCGGAATTATTAAAAATACAAAAGGTAGCCAGGCATGGTGGCAGAGGCCTGTAATCCCAGCTACTCAGGGAAAAAAAATTATTTTAGAGACAGAGTCTTGCTATGTTGTCCAGACTGGTCTCAAACTCCTGACCTCAAGTGATCCTCCTGCCTCAATCTCCCAAAGCTATTCAGTTTTTGTTTATTTGTTTGCTTTTTGAGATGGAGTCTTGCTCTGTTGCAAGGCTGGAGTGCAGTGGTGAGATCTCGGCTCACTGCAACCTCAGCCTTCCGAGTAGCTGGGACTACAGGCGCGCACCACCAAGCCCAGCTAATGTTTAGTATTTTTAGTACAGACGGGGTTTCACCATGTTGGCCAGGATGGTCTTGATCTCTTGACCTCGTGATCCGCCTGCCTCAGCCTACCCAAAGTGCTGGGAGTACAGGCTTGAGCCATCCCACCCAGCCTGTTTTTAATGTTTGTTTTTTTAAGACAGACTATTGCTCTGTCACCTCGGCTGGACTGCAGTAGCACAATCACGGCTCACTGCAGCCTCAACTTCCTGGGCTCAAGTCATCTTCCCACTTCGGCCTCCCAACTAGCCAGGACCACAGGTGTGCATCACCATGCCCAGCTAATTGTTTTATTTTTTATAGAAACAGGGTCTCACAATGTTGCCCTGGCTGGGTTTCAACTTCTGGCTTCTAGCAATCTTCCTGCCAAAGTTTTGGGATTATAGATTTGAGCCATAGAACCCGGCCCACTATTCACACACACAACACACCAAGCCTTGGAGGAACCGCCAAGATCTTTAAATGGAACCATCAGCTTCTGATGTGACTCAAGGATCCCAAAAGTGCCTTTGATTAAGCCTAGGTCAGGATTTGGATGTAGAGAAGAGAAATTACGTTCTGGTGGCAGGCCCTGCCTGGCAGTGTTAACGGGGCAGTTATTCTAAACCACATCAGACGATCTGATTGATCTCAGGTGGGCACAGGCACTGCCAGTGTCCCAAAGCTTCCCAGGCAGTTTTCACGCACAGCCAGCATTTAAAACTCTTAGGGTGAAACCCACATCTTAGGGTTTGCCAACTGGAAGCTTTCTCAACTTCCCAGACCCCCGATCTGGGTCCTAGATTGGACATATTCCTGCAATTCTGGGAGGGAGGGGAGTGGCGGGAGTGGCGGGAAGGAAGGTGCCAGTCCAGTCCGTCCCTGGCGGGATGGGGCTAATAGTGGCAGCAGGGGCAGCCTTGCAGGAGGCAGGCTTCACATACAGCATGTGGTCTGTGCTTCCACCCAAATGCAAGTCCACATTCAAGAGTCTTTTCTCCCTGTGGTCCCGTCTCACTCAGACTCTGAGAAGAGGCGGCAGGAATGAGTTCATCAGATGCCGTGGTCAGGTTAGGAAGGATGAGGGAGCCTGTACCACCAGAGGCGCCGGGGAGAGAAGCACTAGAAAAGAAGAGAAGGCGGCACTGGACGCGGAATTAGACAAGGCACGAACAGGATCAAATTCTCAGTCCCTATGTAGAGATTGCTGTGTTTTCTCTGACCCCGGTAATTTTGGTTTCTTTCTGGGATATTAGTATAATAGAAAATGAGCCGGGCGCAGTGGCTCACGCCTGTAATCCCAGCACTTTGGGAGGCTGAGGTGGGCGGATCACAAGGTCAAGAGATCGAGACCATCCTGGTCAACATGGAGAAACCCCGTCTCTACTAAAAATACAAAAAATTAGCTGGGCATGGTGGCACATGCCTGTAATCCCAGCACTTTGGGAGGCCGAGGTGGGTGGATCACGAGGTCAAGAGATCGAGACCATCCTGGTCAACATGGAGAAATCCCATCTCTACTAAAAATACAAAAACTTAGCTGGGCATGGTGGCACGCGCCTGTAATCCCAGCTACTCGGGAGGCTGAGGCAGGAGAATTGCTTGAACCCAGGAGGCAGAGGTTGCAGTGAGCTGAGATCGCACCATTCCACTCCAGCCTGGGCAACAAGAGCGAAACTCCATCTCAAAAAATAAATAAATAAATAAATAAAATAAAAATAAAAATAAAAATAAAAAGTATAATAGAAAATGGCTGGAGGAGTTAGAAGAGCAAGTGATTTTCTGAGACAATGGGATGTCTCAGGGTCCCCCCCTTTTTTTAAGCATGTTATTTGGTTATGCATAAAATTTCTTTGAGAAGAGCCCACATTTTATTTTCTAGATTAAAAAAAAAAAAAAAAAACTAGGATTGGGGCTGGGTGCAGTGGCTCAAGACTGTAATGCCAGCACTTTGGAAGATCGAGGCAGGTGAATCACTTGAGGCCAGGAGTTCAAGACCAGCCTGGCCAACACGGCCAAACCCCATCTCTACTAAAAAAAAAAATTACAAAAAATTACCCAGGTGTGGTGGCATGCATCTGTAATCCCAGCTACTTAGAAGGCTGAGGCAGGAGAATTGCTTGAACCCAGGATATGGAGGTTGCAGTGAGCCAAGATCATGCCACTGCACTCCAGTCTGGGTGATAGAGCAAGAATCTGCCAAAAAAACAAAAACAAAAACCCTAGGACTGGGTGTGCTGGCTTATGCTGATAATCGCAGCACCTTGTGAAGCTTGAGCCCAGGAGTTCAAGACCAGCTTGGACAACGTAGTGAAATCCCATCTCTAAAATTTTAAAAATTTAAAAACCAGCCAAGCAAGGTGGTGCACTCCTGTAGTCCTAGCTACTCAAGAGGCTGAGGTGGGAGGATCACTTGAACCCAGTGTCAAGGCCACCGTGAAGAAATAAGGCTAAAAATAAAACCCCACCCAAGGAGACTTAACAAGATTTGAAGCCATAATTTCAAACAAAGGCCTGGACAAAGGAGTCTGAGAAGATGATCAAGTAGGAAGCACCAAGAATCGGCCTCCCTATCTAGACAACAATTGCCAGGCAGAATCTCTTTGCCGTAACTACTTTAGAACTCTGGAATCTATTGAAGACTTACAGCTTTCTGTGGAAGACTTTGATGGTAAATCGTGTTAGTTTTGCTCAATTTCAGCTCTTGGCGCAATGGCGGCGACCCTTTTTCTCACCACCTTCCCCCGGCGGGCAGCTGCATATGTGTCTCTTTTTCTCTTTATTTTGAGATGGAGTCTTGCGCTGTTGCCCAGGCTGGAGTGCAATGGCACGGTCTTGGCTCACTGCAACCTCCACCTCCTGAGTTCAAACGATTCTCCTGCCTCAGCCTCCCGAGTAGCTGGGACTACAGGCGCCCACCACCACACCCGGCTAAGTTTTGTATTTTTAGTAGAGATGGGGTTTCACTATGTTGGCCAGGCTGGGGTCGAACCCTTGACCTCATCAGCCGCCTGCTTCAGCCTCCCGAAGTGCTGGGATTACAGGCGTGAGCCACTGTACCTGGCCCCATGTTATTAGATATGAATGCCCAGCTCTCAACAACAAGAAAAAAAAAAAAAAAAAAAAAAACCCAGCAATGACTGGACCATGAAAGGAAAAAAACAAGAGACTGAGACTTAATGTTTAAAGACTTTAAAACTGCTGTCTTAAAGATACTCAGAAAACTAAAGGGAGGTATAAGAATGCATGAACAAATTAGAACTATCAATGACAAAGCAGAAAATCTAGGCCAGGAGCAGTGGCTCGCATCTGTAATCCCAGCACTTTGAGAGGCCAAGGTGAGTGAATTGCTTCAGCCCAGGAATTGGACACCAGTGTGGGAGCATGGCAAAATGCTGTCTCTACAAAAAATTTAAAAATTAGTCAGGCATGGTGGCACACACCAGTACTCCCAGCTACTAAGGAGGCTGGGACAGGAGGTCAACAGTTTGCTGGAGCCTGAGAGGCTGAGGCTACAGTGAGCCATAATTATGCCACTGCACTCCAGCCTGGGCAACAGAGTGAGACCCTGTCAAAGATGAACAGATGGAAGGACGGAAGGAAGGAGGGAGGGAGGGATGGAGGGAGGGAGGGAGGCTGAGGTGAGAGGATCACTTGAGCCCAGGAGTCTGAGACCAGCCTGAGTAACATAGCGAGATCCTGTCCCCCCCAAAAAAAAGAAAGAGAGAGAGAAGCAAGAAAACAAGAAAGAAAGAAGAGAGAATTACCACTGACCTTCCCTGCAATAAATGCTCAAGAGAGTCATTCAATGTGAAATGAAAGGACACTAGGCAGTAACTGGAAGCCATTTGGTGAAACAAAGATTTCAATAAAGGTAAATACACGGCCATTACAAAAGGTGGTATTGTTGTAACAAGGGTTTTTAACTTCAGTTTTTGTTTTCTATATGATAGACTATATGATAGTCTCTTAAGAGACTAACACATTTTTTAAAATTAGTCACAAAGTTAGTATTATTATAACTTTGGGTTGTAATTCCACATTTTTTTTTTTTTACTTTTAATTTAAGACACAAATGCACTTAATTATTAGTTTATGGCTTGGGGCAGCACACTATAAACATGTAATTTAGTGACATCAACAATCAAGCCGGGGGACAGAGCTATAAAGGAGCGGAATTTTTGTATGTTGTT